GGGACACAGACACATTGAATTAACCTTCAGCAGCGTTTTTATCGTTTTAATACCATTGAAGACAACTTTTGACCAGACAACGACAAAGGTAAGCCATTTTGCCGTTTTTAGCTACCTAGCGCCACATGTTTTGATGTCTGTTCTTGTTAATAGCTTCGCGAGTTCTTATCATGGAGTGATAATGTAGGTACCGAACGATTCTGTGTCTTCTCACGATGCTAATCGATGGGTTGGACGTGCAGCTACGATAAGTAATAAGGGTGTTATGAGTGAGTTTCTGTGCAGTAATGCGTTAGCATTTTTCCGCTCATGGCTAATTCAGAGGCAGAGCGTTAGCTTTGTGGGTTTAAAAAAAAAAAAAAAAAAGATCAGTTAGCTGAGTTTCTTCCCGTTACATGGATATAAAACATTTATAGTTTATTGAATATTAAGATGCCCTCAGACGCTGTTTCCTGCAGACTACTACTGCAATAGCATGCTCTACGGCATACCATCCAACCTAATCAATAAACTCCAACATATCCAGAACTCTGCTGCCCGCCTCCTCACCCACACCCGCTCCCGAGACCACATCACTCCCGTCCTCCAGAACCTCCACTGGCTCCCCGTCCGTCAAAGAATCAACTTCAAAGTCCTCCTCATTCCTCACAAAGCCCTCAACAATCAGGCCCCCCCCTACCTCACAGACCTGCTGCACCACCACGCCCCTTCCCGCTGCCTCCGCTCATCAGAAGCCAACCTCCTATCCATCCCCACCCGCACCAATCACCGGACCTGGGGGGACAGAGCCTTCTCCGTCGCTGCCCCCTCCCTCTGGAACTCACTCCCACAACCCATCAGAGACTGCACTGACCTCACCACCTTCAAAACACTCACAAAAACTCACCTCTTCAATCTGGCTTTTAATGTGTGATTGTTTTTGTATTATTTGACTTTAACTTTAACTATATATTTATTTGTTGTTCCTTCCTTTTCTTTTCCCTTCACTATATCTGTAAAGCGTCTTTGAGCACCTGTAAAAGCGCTAACAAATTAAATCTATTATTATTATTATTATAGATGACGCTTTTTTTTCCCCCAAAGTCAAATTCAAGCACTTTTTCAAGGTGCATATCAAGCTTTTCGAGCATCTTACAGCTGTTGTAAATTACATATTTATATACACATACTTATACTCAAATGATTATTTCCCTATCTCACATTAAATCTGATGTTCTTTATGCTATGAACAACCAGATGTGTGTTTCGTGATAGCATTCTACACGAGGATGATAAATTAAAGAAAAAGAAAACAGTGTAATATTTCAAAATGAGTGACCCATCTGTAAGTGGACTGGGCATCCCATATAACCTGGCTGAGCCGATATACAACAATCAGCCAAATAACTTTCAATACATTCTTTATTAACATGTTGGAGGTCCTTAGGTTGGCAGTGAACATAACGCTCTCCCAGGTTAGGCCAAAGGGGGCATTATATGCACACATATACTGTATCAACTCAAAGGTGAATTTTCCTTCACATTGAATCAGAAATTATGCAAATCAAATCAACTTTCAATCAGTCTTTGAGCTCCTTGAGTTGAAAAAGCAAACAGAAAACCTGCACAGAACACTGCACTGAGTCATTCAAGGTAAGGCTGAACAGCATACGGCCTATCAGGGAGGGTCTTTCAGTTCCTTGAGTTTGTCCGTTAGCTGTCTCTCCCAAGTCTGCAGATGTCTTTCCTTTCCTTAGCAGCTCTTCCAAGGCCATTGGGCTTCGAGATGAAGCTTAGTTTTCTTTTTATGCAACTGTGTACTTCTTATACTCCACTACAGTTCAGAGGTGAATGGTGTACTTTTCCTCCACTACATGTATTTAATACCTTTAGTAACTTCACAGATGTGGATGAATGATGTGAAATATAATCAAGTGTTAAATCAGACTTTAGTTCCACCTGGAGTAAATCCACCAGCTACCCTGCAGTATACAAAGTCATTCAAACTAGCTGCACCTTTACCAGCTTTGAGAACACTTTCATGATCAATCATTATGAAACATATCATATATATTATTCTGAAATGGAGCCTCAGTGACCTTTGAGATATCACCCTCTTTCAATCCCAAGAAAACATTCCTCCTCAAAGACACATTCACCTCCGACAGACTTTCACTTGTGGACTAGAGTTATCCTGTGGATGAACTCAAGGAACACTATCTCCGCCTACAATGCCTTCCCCTTCCCGCATTTTCCAAAGTGCAGCCTCTCCTACTAATAGGTGAAGATAACTTCCACCTCATTACCCCAACCAAAAGAGTCTCTTTGGGTCCACAGGGGGCACCAACAGCCCTCCAGCTAGGTTCAAATACAAGATCTCACTCCTCGCCCATCAGGGCATCCACGGGAACGCTCCTTCATACCTCGAGGAACTACTCTCCTCACAAACCTCCACACGCAACCTCCATTCTACAACCAACCATCTGCTTCCCCCCCAGGACCAAACTCCGCACCATGGGGGGGCTTTCTGTTCACCTGTGGAATTCCCTCCCAGACAAACTGAGGACTCCAAAGACCACTGACTCCTTTAAGAAGGGCCTAAAGACATTTCTTTTTAAAAAAAAGCCTTTTTTTAAACTTGAGATTACTTTTAGCAATGAAAGGTTCCTTACAAATAAAATGCATTATTCTTATTCTTATCATTAGGTTGGACACTCCAAGGGCCCCCCCTATTCAGGAGCCATCGGATGCCCCCCAGAGTCTCTTCACCCCAACTGGAACCCCCGATGCCGAACTCAGTCGTCAGGTGGAAGAACTATGGCAGATAGGTGTCCTCCCCTTTCAGGAAGAGCAAGGCATCACCAGATCCAAGCGCCCCTCCAGTCCAGTGGACCCCCTTCCAGCAGCTCATTGACCGGGTCCTGCGTCCCACTCTCAGTATGCAGATATCCGGATGACTACATCGTTCAAAGTGAGATGGGGGGCAGAGTTGGGGCAGGTAAAGGCGGGGCTCGGAGCTAACCTGAAGAAGAGTGGGTTGGGGTATCTGGGGTCGATGGAGTCTCCTCTCTGGTGCTGGGATGGGTGGGAGGTGGTGGTAGGTAGCAGCAGGAGTATGTGCAACACATCTTTCTTCTCAAGAAAAGCTTTAAGTTCAATGGATTGTTTTTGTTCATTTCATATTGAGGAGAGCTAACAGGAAGTCTCTCATCAGCTGCAGCCTTCTTCTATATTTTCCAAAATGCCTCCACACTCCTCTTCACGTCTCAAACTCGCCCTGTGATGAAGAAACTGAGAACAAATAAAACCTGAGCTTGTAGATTTGTCTGGAACACCAGCAAAACACTGAGCAATAACGTTGGGTTACGTATTGTAACCCTTGTTATATTAGCACAGGCAGAGCCCTCTACTGGACTCTATGGGTACAGTGGGTGGAGCCCTGATGTATACGCGCACTGTCGTCCAACAATAGCATTCCACCCTACTTCCCCTGACCGGCTTTTCTGGTCAGCAGCTGCTGCCCCACATTCTCCTTTAACCCGGTTGTGACTGTGGAAAAGTCTGGGCTGCGGCTGACAGAGCACACTCTGCTGCGCGTACCTCACAGAAAGTGTGCTCAAAAAACAGTGCTGCTCACTTTGAGAGCAAAATTAGGGACTACATCTATGGCAGTCAGTAGGGGCTTGGACTGTGAGCCATAGGCTCGCCGGTTCAAGTCCCCGACCAGACCTATTTGGAGTGTGGACTTCTACTTGGAGAGGTCCCAGTTCACCTCCTGTCCTGCCGTGGTGCCCTTGAGCAAGGCACCGGACACCCCCCTTCCCCCCTCACTCCCATTGCTCCCCGGGCGCTGTACAATAGCTGCCCACTGCTCCTGGTACTAGACTCCTGGTTCTAGACTCCTGGTACTAGACTCCTGGTACTAGACTCCTGGTACTAGACTCCTGGTACTAGACTCCTAGTACTAGACTCCTGGTACTAGACTCCTGGTTCTAGACTCCTGGTTCTAGACTCCTGGTACTAGACTCCTGGTACTAGACTCCTGGTACTAGACTCCTGGTACTAGACTCCTGGTACTAGACTCCTAGTACTAGACTCCTGGTTCTAGACTCCTGGTACTAGGATGGGTTAAAAGCAGAGAACACATTTCACTGTGTGCTCTGCATGTGAGACCATTAAAGAGGGTTTCATCCCTCCCAATTCTTCTTCTTCTTCTTCTTCTTCTTCTTCTTCTTCTTCTTCTTCTTCTTCTTCTTCTTCTTCAACACCCATATGAAACAGAACTGTAAACAGATTTACTTTTTCTTTCAACATGTATTTGAACAGCAAGTGGAGTCAAAAGTGACTGCACCCAAAACAATAAACCTGCTAGCTAACTAGCCTAAACTCAGTAACAGAATGTGGGCAACACGTTCTTCTCCACAGCCGGGCGACCTCTGAGTCAGACGTCACTTCCCCCTTTTCTATCCTACGGGTACAGCCGTACAGCCACTCCCCCTGAACCCCGTTTCCCTGCCAACCCCCCCATGATCTGATCTGATCTCTGATCTCTCTCTCGCGTCCGGTTAGACTTCACTCGCGTTTATGTCTAAATCTATCAGATCTAGCTAGTTCTAGTTAATGATATGACTGCCTGCTTATCAAAGGACACCTAAACAATAAGCGTTGCTTGGCAACGGCGTGTGGCCGCAAAGTATAGCATTATACATATGTTTTTATGCTCATAAAATGCTCATATATTTTATTCTCTTCATTCCCCACGCACCAAATAAATAAAGTATACTAATTTTAGGAAAAGTAAGGAAGTTTGAGCAGTGTGGGTTTTATATTAACAGAGTTACACATGTTTCAAAACGCAAAGTGTAATAACTGCAGTGGCCTCCCTGTCAGAATGACAAAGGTCCTCAGTGAAGCTCAAGCCCATGTTTCACTAGATTGTACAACTTATTAAACAGATCAGTTCAATGCAACCAATGTCCTCAGTGTTATTGCATGATGTTAAAATTGGTTTGCCGTGAATTTAGTGATGGATTGTAAACATTTGAAATGTAGCATTTAAGTGTTTCTCAGTTACAATGTTGTTGTTTTAATAAATCAGACACGGATGGTGCAGCGCTGTACTGTACCTCTTTATATAAGCATTTATTCCCTAACAATTGTGTTTGCGCTGATCAGGCGGGGAACCAAGGGGGAACATTATTGAAAAAAGTTTGAGAACCACTGTGTTAGAGTTGATTACTAAAGTATGGCTTTGCTTTTTCAGCTGGCCTTCTGTAGTTGATGGAAGAATGAAGGAGCCTGCAGTCAGTGGGTAACATCACTGATCTGTTTCCCCAGTGAGAGAAACACCTCCATGAGTTTCATACAATACTGCTGAACCAGCAGAGACCCCTCACTGACCTGAGAGTCTCCAGTCTGCAGTCTGGACTCTCCAGAAGATCTCTCAGCAGCTTCTCTCCTGTAGCCTGCAGAGTGCTGCTGCCTCTCAGGTCCAGATCTCTCAGATGGATGTTGGACTTCAGAGCTGAGGCCAGAGCAGAACAGCTGATCTCTGACAACCTGCAGTTAACCAGTCTGAATAAAGAAAACATGATGGGGATAAAAATCAGTTTATAATCAGATGTGTTACTCAACATTGAAAGTCAACTTTATCCTGAAATATGACTTCAGATGAACTTTATTCAAACGTTATCGTTTACTAAATATTAAAAACATAGATTTACTTTGAACAACTAACATCTATTACAGTTCCTTTAAGAATCAGTCAACATTTATCTCTGCAGTTCTTACTTTAGTACCTACAAATGAAAGTATGAATAAAAGAACATTTACAACTTAATGGATGTTAGTTAATTATGTTCGCTTCTCTACCCACAAAGACGCGGAGGCAATCTTCATGTCTACCTCAAACTCTCCTGGGTGACGAACATCCCCAGAGATGAGGCTGCTGCTAATGGTAGCATGTTGATCCACTTCGATGGTGCAGCTAAGTGACTTTCTCCTCGGTTTCCTCTCTTCTCGTTTTTTATTTTTCTCATCTTCTCTAGAAACAGAGAACTGTTCACGTGACGTGTCATGACTGCTGAGATGTTGTTGACACTCTCTTTTGTGTTTATTATAACTTCATATAACAGGTGGGCACCCGCCTGGCTCTTTCAGTTGTGTTGTTTGTTTACATGTTACAGTGACGTTGACATCACTTCTTCTTCTTTGGCACGTTAGAGCCCACTACTACTATTGCAATACTGCCCCGAGTGGCTGTTATTGTTAAATAATGTTTGTGTTCGTTCGGATGAATTTCTTTGAGCTATGACTTCTTTATCCTCTTCGTAATGCAGACTGAGCTCTGTGTAATTATTTATTATGTTTATGTTTAAGTTTACTCATGGTAATGCTCTGGGATTTGGTGTCCAGGGCTGCTGGGCCTTCTTAAAGGTTATTTTGTGTTTTTCTTTATTTTTCTTTTTGTGTTTGAATGTTTTGTATGTCTGTTTTACATTAATGGTTGAATCTAGCAATCTTTACAATCATGAATCGCATGTATGCGTAACAAGTGACAGGAACATTATTTGCTATTCATTCCAGACTGGATGAATTAAAGGGTATAACAATCATTCATTTGAATATCAGGAGTCTATTGCCCAAAATTGATTTACTTCGGATATGGGTTGTTCTACATAAACCTAAAATCATCACACTCTCTGAAACTTGGCTTAGTAGTAACATTTCCGATAGTGAACTACAAATCACAAATTATTTGCTTTACAGATCCGATAGATGCAGCAGGGGTGGAGGTGTGGCTATTTATGTCTCCTCTGACCTTGTGACTGAGCTACTTCTATAGAGCCTCTACATTTTGAATGCATTTTTCTTAAAATAATTTTTCATGAAAATAAATGCTTAACTATTGGTGGCATCTATAGGCCACCTTCTTCACCTGCAGAGTCTTTTAACCATATCATTGACACTATCAACTCCATTTCCTGCGGAAATGAAATAATCTTGCTTGGTGATTTCAACAAAAATTGGTTGGATAAATCATCTACTACTTTTCAGTAGTAAATGTTAAACAGCTAATTAATGAGCCAACTCGTATCACTCTTAGAACCCAATCTCTGCTTGACTGGATACTGGTGTCACACCCTGACAGAATCTTAAAAGCTGGTGTCATGTCGGATTGCTTCAGCGATCATTCAATTGTTTATTGCGTATGGAAAATCTAATTAATTAAACTGCCTCCAAAACTAGTCAAAATCAGACAATATAAAAAATGGAATGTTTATTTATTTATTAATGATGTTGTTGCCCTTAATTGGGACAGATTTCAACTAATACCTTTTGTACAAGATGCTTGGGATTTTCTGCATAAAGAGCTCACTGATGTCATGAACATGACCTGTGTGAACGGTTAAGGTCAAAGGTCAACATCTCCCTTGGATCAATTCTGAACTCATCAGTCTCTTTAGGGAAAGGGATAAAGCATGGTCGATATATCGTCATTCAGGAACTATAGCCGATTGGGAAGTATACAGGCATCTTCGAAATCTGAGTAAAACCAAAACCCGAAATGCTAAATCGAACTACTCTAAAGAATCTCTCACATCGGACTTTATAAACGACATGAATCAAAGATGTGTTGCTGTATTTTAGTGGTAAAAAAATGCATTCATAATTATATATAATTTACACAGTGCCTGTAAACCGGAGGAGAACGCTGGCATTTCTCCTCCTACTTGAAAGACTACGGAGGGATAGGGTCTGCAAAATGAGTTTGTGTGTGTGTGTATATATATATATGATATATATGCTCTGACCGTTCCACTTCCTGCCTGCCCGACCTTAAGTTACGGCTGCGCCGCGTTAAAAATAGGATTCATCCTAATTTTAGAGGAGCCCTGCGCCGAGGCGCTTCTGGGACGTTTCTGGCCGTATCACGCCGCGTGTGGGGGAATAGCACCCATTGACTAGAGTGGCCGCGATTGCCGCGATCGCCGTGAGCACCGCGGCGCAGCCGTAACACGCCCGTAACGCGCCCGTAACGCGCCCGTAACGCGCCCGTAACGCACCGCAGACGGACCCGGTGGAATCTAGGGGTAAGAGTCAGACAAGTGATTGAGTGTCTCCAGATGTTGGGGCTATCTCCAGTGTTCCCAGAACTCTCTGTAAACTAGTTAAAAGGTCTATCGAGAGAGAGGCTGGGCAGAATTGATGTGGCAACCCACCCGTGCAGTCAGAACCTCTGGCTGCTGTGACTTGTGATGTGAAATTCTCCGCCCGATACTTGTAATAAAACACCAGTGTATGACATCAAAGCTCCAACTCTCCTCGTGTCACTCTGAGTCCTGACTCTCCATTGCTGCAGAAGTTTCCCTTACAATTAGTTTATAAAGTTAATCACATCTGGACTTACACAGCCTTCCTGCAGTTCCTCACAGCTGGAATCAGTCTCCATCGTCCCTCAGCTGATGTTTTGTACTACATCAGGTCAAAATCATCCAGAACCTCCTCTGACATCTGCAGCATGTAGGCCAGAGCAGAGCAGTGGATCTCAGAGAGTTCCTTCTCTGATCTGTTCTCTGACTTCAGGAACCCTGTGATCTCCTGATGTACTGAGAGGTCCTTCATCTCTGTCAGACAGTGGAAGATGTTGATGCTCCTGTCAGGAGAGATGTTATCACTTCTCAACTTCTTCAGGTTGCTGATGGCTCTCTGGATGATTCCTGGACGGTTGTCTGTGCGACCCAGCAGGCCTCCTAACAGTCTCTGGTTGGACTCCAGAGAGAGGCCGTGGAGAAAGCGGACAAACAGGTCCAGGTGGCCATTTTCACTTCTGAGGGATTTCAGCATGGCTCCCTTTAGGAAGACATCCAGGGATGGGTACTCCTGATCCCTGCTATCACTGTTATCATCGTCCCAGTCTTCCTGCAGGAAGTGCTTCAGTACCGCTGTGTCTCTGTTGGTGTAACAGTGCAACATGTAGACTGCAGCCAGAAACTCCTGAATGCTCAGATGAACAAAGCAGTAGACTGTTTTCTGGAAGATCACACTTTTGAAGATTTCTGTACAAACTCCTGAGTGCACCAAGGCCTCGGTGACATCAAGGCCACAGCGCTGCAGGTCTTCTTGGTAGAACATGATGTCTCCTTTCTCCAGATGTTCAAACGCCAGCCTCCCCAGCTTCAGAAGAAGCTCCCTGTCAGCCTCCGTCAGCTGCTGTGGACTCGTCTCATGTCCCTCTTCATACTTCTGCTTCTTCCTCTTGGTCTGGACCAGCAGGAAGTGTGAGTACATGTCAGTGAGGGTCTGGGGCAGCTCTCCTCTCTGGTCTGTAGTCAACATGTGTTCCAGAACTGCAGCAGTGATCCAGCAGAAGACTGGGATCATGCACATGATGTGGAGGCTCCTGGAGCTCTTGATGTGAGAGATGATTCTGCTGGACAGGTCTTCATCACTCGATCTCCTCCTGAAGTACTCCTCCTTCTGGGCGTCAGTGAAGCCTCGTACTTCTGTTACCCTGTCCACACACTCAGGAGGGATCTGATTAGCCGCTGCAGGTCTGGAAGTTATCCAGACGAGAGCCGAGGGAAGCAGCTTCCCCCTGATGAGGTTTGCCAGCAGCACGTTGACTGAGGACTGCTGTGAGACATCAGACACAACCTCACTGTTTCTGAAGTCCAGAGAAAGTCTGCTTTCATCCAGGCCGTCAAAGATGAGCAGCACTTTGCAGACAGCCAGCTGCTCTGCTGTGACCTTCTGTAAGGTTGGATGGAAAACATGGAGCAGCCTGAGAAGACTGTACTGCTCACCTTTGATCAGGTTCAGCTCCCTGAAGGAGAGCGGGATCACCAGACTGACATCTTGGTTTCCCAAACCCTCGGCCCAGTCCAGAGTGAACTTCTGCACTGAGAAGGTTTTTCCAACTCCAGCCACTCCGTTGGTCAGGACCGCTCTGATGAGAGTGTGTTGGTCAGGTAAGGCTCTAAAGATGTCCTGGCACTTGATTGGAGTGTCATGGAGGGTCTCTTCTTGGAAGCTGTCTCCAGCTGCCTCACCTCATATTGGGTATTAACCTCTTCACTCTGGCCTTGTGTGATGTAGAGCTCAGGGTAGATGCTGTTGAGGAGGGTTTTACTTTCATCAGTTCCTTCAGTCACACGTTCACATCTCCTCCTCAGACTGAGCCTATGTTCATCTAAAACCTCCTGCAGACCACGTTCTGCTGGAAGAGAAGGGAACAGGAGAGAATCAGGAACATGCTTTAGAGAATATAACAATAAAACTAATAAAAACAGACTGAGTTTTAATGTTTTATAAACATGTTACTGTCAATGCTCTTCAACAGAATACCTAATAAAAAAACAAATGAACCAGGAAGAGTTATAAGACGCTGCATGAGTTCGGCCTCTTACCTCGTACAGAGCTGGTCTGACTGGCTGTCTGCAGGCCAGCTCTGGTTCTGGATCTTTCTCCACACTGGGGACAGGAGGGGTCTCCTGATGGAGGTCTCTGCTCCCAGTATGAGGTGATGCACTGTCTGCAGAACCAGTGTCCACAGCTGGTAGAGACTGGATCCTTCAGGAACGTCCTGACACAGAGCACAGCTGGTAGAGACTGGATCCTTCAGGACGTCCTGACACAGAGCACAGCTGGTAGAGACTGGATCCTTCAGGACGTCCTGACACAGAGCACAGCTGGTAGAGACTGGATCCTTCAGGACGTCCTGACACAGAGCACAGCTGGTAGAGACTGGATCCTTCAGGACGTCCTGACACAGAGCACAGCTGGTAGAGACTGGATCCTTCAGGACGTCCTGACACAGAGCACAGCTGGTAGAGACGGGATCCTTCAGGACGTCCTGACACAGAGCACAGCTGGTAGAGACTGGATCCTTCAGGACGTCCTGACACAGAGCACAGCTGGTAGAGACTGGATCCTTCAGGACGTCCTGACACAGAGCACAGCTGGTAGAGACGGGATCCTTCAGGACGTCCTGACACAGAGCACAGCTGGTAGAGACTGGATCCTTCAGGACGTCCTGACACAGAGCACAGCTGGTAGAGACTGGATCCTTCAGGACGTCCTGACACAGAGCACAGCTGGTAGAGACTGGATCCTTCAGGACGTCCTGACACAGAGCACAGCTGGTAGAGACTGGATCCCTCAGGACGTCCTGACACAGAGCACAGCTGGTAGAGACTGGATCCTTCAGAACGTCCTGACACAGAGCACAGCTGGTAGAGACTGGATCCTTCAGGATGTCCTGACACAGAGCACAGCTGGTAGAGACTGGATCCTTCAGGACGTCCTGACACAGAGCACAGCTGGTAGAGACTGGATCCTTCAGGACGTCCTGACACAGAGCACAGCTGGTAGAGACTGGATCCTTTAGGACGTCCTGACACAGAGCACAGCTGGTAGAGACTGGATCCTTCAGGACGTCCTGACACAGAGCACAGCTGGTAGAGACTGGATCCTTCAGGATGTCCTGACACAGAGCACAGCTGGTAGAGACTGGATCCTTCAGGATGTCCTGACACAGAGCACAGCTGGTAGAGACTGGATCCTTCAGGACGTCCTGACACAGAGCACAGCTGGTAGAGACTGGATCCTTCAGGACGTCCTGACACAGAGCACAGCTGGTAGAGACTGGATCCTTCAGGACGTCCTGACACAGAGCACAGCTGGTAGAGACTGGATCCTTCAGGACGTCCTGACACAAGCACAGCTGGTAGAGACTGGATCCTTCAGGACGTCCTGACACAGAGCACAGCTGGTAGAGACTGGATCCTTCAGGACGTCCTGACACAGAGCACAGCTGGTAGAGACTGGATCCTTCAGGACGTCCTGACACAGAGAACAGCTGGTAGAGACTGGATCCTTCAGGATGTCCTGACACAGAGCACAGCTGGTAGAGACTGGATCCTTCAGGACGTCCTGACACAGAGCACAGCTGGTAGAGACTGGATCCTTCAGGACGTCCTGACACAGAGCACAGCTGGTAGAGACTGGATCCTTCAGGACGTCCTGACACAGAGCACAGCTGGTAGAGACTGGATCCTTCAGGACGCACACACACACACATATATATATATATATATATATATATGCCGTTAAAAACTGTGCAATATATACCTGGCTGCTAAATCCTCTGAACTGTTACAGGATGTGTATTTTGTAAATTGTATAACTTTTTATTTTATTGTATTTTTTATCATATAACTTTTTTTTTAAAGGACTAATAAAGGTTTTCTGATTCTGATCTGATTCTGATCTGATTCTGAACTACGATGCTCAACAGCTCGCTAAACAGAACTTTGACGCTGGTATCAGTTTGGTTTCCCACCAATCACGGGAGTGTTGTGTATAGAAAGTGTTGAGTTATATTCCTCCATGAAGGCAACATGATGGAGGGAGGGCTGTCACTCAGGATGCCAAACTACTATTTGGTAAGCCCCGCCCCCCCCCCCCCAAGAGACATCAGGGCCAAAAGTCTGAAAGCGAAAGAAACGGTGAAACCTGAAAAAACAAGATTTGAAACCGAAAACAATAATTGCTTTGAATCTGAAAACGGAAAATCTGCAACTGAAAAAAAAACAAGGATTCAAATATCAAAATATGTATAAAAGGAGTGGAGCTGTCTTTTTATGACAAGTAATTAAGCTCGCTCCGACTTCTTTCTCTTTTTTTTGTTATCGAAAAAAGCGAACTATTCAGTCAGACAGCGATTTATTATAAAAGTAAAGCAAGGACCATTTCAAGCACTTTATCCAAAATCCAAACCTTGAAAACACCAAATGAAATTTCAAGCATTTTCAAGGATTTCCAGCACCCGTACGAACCCTGTAAATTGCATTTCCTCAACAACTGGATCTGTGTCTCAGTAGGAAGAGAGTTGGATTTCAGTAAGGATCAAATACAGTTTCATTATATAACATTCAGTTTCAAGTTTATTGGAATGAAGCTCAAAAAGCATAAATCCAATTTCAAGCATACTATTAAGATTCATCTTTTTATGCAATTAGTCAAGTATAAATAATTCAGTTTCTATAGTGACTCAAGTTTCCACTGAAAGCTGTAGCGCACAGACTTGTTCGGTCTTCATTCAGATGATTGATTTCCAGCTTTATTTTAAGCTATGTGAAAAAATGTAAAAAGGGGCTATAATTTGGGGAGATTTATGTGGAACGGTGTGCAACAGAAAAACAGGTGTGTGTGTGTGTGTGTGTGTGTGTGTGTGTGTGTGTGTGTGTGTGTGTGTGTGTGTGTGTGTGTGTGTGTGTGTGTGTGTGTGTGTGTGTGTGTGTGTGTGTGTGCCTCAAAATGATCTCAACTCGGAGCCAAAAACCAGTAGAAAAAAAAGATTCCCATACTTATAATTTACCGTCGGTGTAGAATAACCTTGTCTTTTCCCGATCAGGTAAAGTGATGTCTGAGCGGCTGCCAAACACAACGGATGTTTGATGAGAGTAGCAGGTCTGCTTCTTGAGTTCAGTGGGAAACACAGAGCGAGTGGTCAGAATCAAGGGATTATGTCTCGTACTGGAATAAAACACCGCTATCAAAGAGAAACGGCCTCTCAGACGGCAGGCCACAGTGTAAGTAATGGTCTTAACACTCATTTACACACACACACACACACACACACACACACACACACACACACACACACACACACACACACACACACACACACACACACACACACACACAGACACACACACACACACACACACACACACACACACACACACACACACACACACACACACACACACACACACACACACACACACATTATATCAATGAGAGCAGCAGCAGCCATTCGTGGGATAAAAGGGAGAAAGTGAAAACTTGCTTTTATCTTCATTCTATCATTTAAAAGTTATTTATTTTTTGGTTGTTTTGTAAAAAAAAATATGATTTGTTTACAACATGACTCTGATGACGATGACCTAATCTTTTATTTTCAAGAACAATGTACGCTAGAGGAGGACCAGAAAACGTTTTTTAAGCTCCTGTTGAACATGACAGACTATTTGAGAATGCATTTATTTGAATGTTTGTGTACCTGAACGTTTTGTGTTTTGTTATTATTATAAAAAAAAAAAAAGTTTCTGACATGTTCAATAAATTGACTAATAATAAAAGAATCCTCAGTAGACTCGACTACTGTAATGGTGTCTTCACAGGTCTCACTAAAACATCTATTAGAACGCTGCAGCTGATTCAGAACGCCTCTCTATCACTAAGAAAGTGGATCAGTCCAGTTCTGAAGTCTTTGACTGTAACTACTCTTGAAAGAACGTTACGCATCGAACTGATGTCCACAATCACGTTTATTTTCTTCTTTGTACAATCATGAAACACCGTGAAACGTGTTCGCCTAGTAGACCAGCAGTAGAATTATGTTATTACATCGTTGACACTTTTAGCGCCCTTTTACTCTCTCACAAACACAACTAAACATCCGGGCTAGAGGTCACATGACTTCCGGAAAGAAAACTTTTAACAAAATAAAACAAAGTTCAATCATACATTAAGCACTCTTCAAAAAATACAAAACAATAAACAAGGGCACTTTGAGCTACACTGGCTTCCTGAGTGTCAAATAACTGATTTCAAAATACTGCTGCTGGTTTATAAAGCACTGAATGGTTTAGGCCCAAAATACATTTCTGACCTCCTGCTAAATGATGAACCATCCAGATCTCTCAGGTCTTCAGGGACTGGTCAGCTTTCTGTCCCCAGAGTCAGAACTAAACATGGAGAAGCAGCGTTCAGTTATTATGCTCCAAATATCTGGAAATCTATTAGGAAGCTGCAGCTGATTCAGAACGCCGCTGCTCGAGTCCTCACTGACACTAAGAAAGTGGATCACATCACTCCAGTTCTGAAGTCTTTACACTGGCTTCCTGTGTGTCAAAGAATAGATTTCTAAATACTGCTGCTGGTTTATAAAGCACTGAATGGTTTAGGTCCAAAATACATGTCTGACCTCCTGCTAAATGATGAACCATCCAGGATCTCTCAGGTCTTCAGGGACTGGTCAGCTTTCTGTCCCCAGAGTCAGAACTAAACATGGAGAAGCAGCGTTCAGTTATTATGCTCCAAATATCTGGAACAAATGTCTGTTAGTCTTTGTGTGTTATTTCTCTATGGTGTTGTCTGGGGATGTAAAATGGATGAAAGGACTATAAAAAGGTTAGAAAAGTGTCAAAAGAACTATAATTTACAGGAAGACGAGGGGTAGAGGACTTTGGTTCGGGATATTTTGTTAAATATCTGGAACAAACTCCCAGAAACCTGCAGGTCCGCTGCAACTCTACTTTTAAATCCAGGCTGAAGACTTTTCTTTTTGCGGTTGCTTTTAATTGAACTATTCACATCTCACACTGTAACTTGTATTCATGTTTTATTAAAATGCCATTTTATAATATGTTTCTTAATGCTCTTAATGTCTTAAAGCACTTTGAATTGCCTTGTGTTGAAAGGTGCTGTATAAATAAACTTGCCTTGAAGAATAGGGAGACAGAGATGACGGGAGATATGAGAGAGGAACTAAGTGTTTCTCCATGCTCACCTGTGCCAATGCCT